CTAAATTCAACAACGGCAACGTGGTGGACAGGCAGAACTGCAGTTTTCGCTCAGTGCTGCGCGCTGACGGTCCATACTGGTGAGCAACAGTATTATGCAATTATGGTTTTCTGTAAGCATAATTTGCTTACACTTGTAACACTTGCGCGGTTCCTCTTCCTTATCTTGCGAAACCAGTGCGATCAATCATTTAAAATGTTTTATATGTGTAAAAGGCTTTTAACGTACTTTACCTTCCCACACTACCCCATTCAACAAATAAACGGCTAAACCATTTGCGCGAGCATTTCAGGTCGATCTAGCAAAATCAACATGTGATGACAAAAACGGTAGCCGTAAAACGGCAACTCAAAACTGGCGCGGGCTGCGCACGTGGGAAAAATCAGTGTTCGCGTTTCCATCACAATTTATAAATAACAAATCCCAAGGAATATGTAGTTGTAAACGCGATGAGGGCTTTCTTTTCATTTTGCTTTTTAAAAAGTATTGTGTACTTTTTACTGTACTGTTTTCAAGTACTGTTTTTTTTCTGTTTTAAGAAGCATTGTGTACTAATTAAGAAGTACTGGTGTGCTTTTTCATCAGCCTGTCAATTATCCAGAATCAAATAATTTTGAAAACGAACAGCATTAACTGAGGCGAGATGTCGATCAATTTGCGACACAATACGATGATATCCACTATCCAAAAGAGCAAAAAAAGAAGAGCTTTCCCTGTCTGCCCAATTTCCAACATGGACTCTGGTACTTTTTTAATTCCAAATATTTGGAATCAAACCGGCACCTTTGTTGAGAGGATTTGCAAGAGCATGCGAAGACGGTCCATAACACAAGGTCCATAACACAAGGTCCATAACACAAGGTCCATAACACAAGGTCCACAACACAAGGAAGGGCGTTGAAGCAGTGCATAACGCGACAATGCGAGAAATCTTATCGTTACATTTTAACTGAAGTACTATTCACTGATATACAAGCGAAGAGCACGTTTTATCTCACTCCAGACGAATGCCTCGTCTGCACTTGATGTATTTGAACACTGAAGATATGGCTATACTTTATGGCGTTTCTGATGTCACATCTAGATCCGGCTCAAAGTGCTGTTAAGGTGGATATAAATACATGTGACCCCAAATACATGTGGTCTAAATAGCTCATGGCTCCCGCAAAAAACAAACCAAAAAGTCAAAAAACAAAGAAGCAAATAGCCTGTGGCCCAAAGAGCTCCCCAAAGCTTTTTTCATGCACTCAGCGTGAAGTAGTGCGGTGATCTCCAGAACGAATTCCTGGAACTGGAGTTGAACAGATTAGGTGATAGGTAAACACGTGCTTGTCGCGTCCCGCCCAAGGTGTTCACCAATGTACGTCAATTTGTTCTAATTGGATTTCCAGGCTGTGCCGCCTACCTGTCCTCGGAAAGGACATTAACTGGAGCGCCCTTGCGCCCACACACAACTCTTTCCATTCCGCTCGGGTGTGGGCCTTCCAGGAAGCGGTGAGACCTGCTCAGATCGGGATCTTTCGGTCGAGCCAGGGCGGAAGGGCCTGGATCTGGTCGTTTCAAAACGAGAGAACTCAGAGGCTTGACATGATCTGTTTGCTGTTAAGTCAAAGAGAAGAGCCCGTCCGGCCGCCCTGCACTTTCTTATCGGTTTTAGACAGCCATTTCTAAGGTACAGAAGCATGCGAGACATCTTTGAGTCAAGACATTTTGAAATACCGTAGTCTTAGTCTAGTCTAGTCTTAAGATAGTACTTAAGACACTCTTTAAACTATGCACCGTTATTATGAAGAACGCACACAAGTTCCTTGCCCACAGCTGAGCCTACCCTCAACATTAGGCTGTCTTGAACGAAGCAAATCAGCCGAATAAAATCCAGTGCGCCCAGGAACATCATGTCCTGTCACGCATTCATGCGACAGCATTACACCATGACGAAGTGTTTGCGCACTGAACCCGGCCGCAGCAGCCGTGCACTGGCCAGGTCAAGGTCACTGGAGCATCGGCATCGGCGGCGGCTCGGCCGGGCCAGATGACAGCCGCGCCCCTCCGGCGACCGAGTTTCACCCGCTTTATCTGCGCACCGACTGTCGATCAAGGGGCCATCCTGGCCAGCGGTGATGTCACATCCGGGATAGAGGTCACCACCACGACCTCCTCCGTGTCGACCGATCGTTTCCAGGGCGGGCCGCGTCCCACGCGCCGGGGACATATTAATGAGCCTGATTAGAGAGGGGAAGACGTGCCGGCCGGCGCGCGGCGTATGAGCAACGTCGCGCGCAGAACGGGGCGTCCGTGCCCACCTTGCTGCTGGAGGCTGTATTGAAGCCCCTCGGGCGGCTTGAGGATCCTCAGCTTGAGCGCGTAGTTGACCATGCACGGCAGCGTGCTGCGGAAGAGCTTGGTACGCTCCGCCGGCGCCAGCTGACTGATGTACAGCTGCAGCCCGTCAAACCGACTCGGGTCCGCCGGGTCGTCGCTGGGGTCAAGGCCGACGCTGAAAGGAGCAACGCAGGCAAATTAGCCAGTCACGATGCAGCGGTTAGTTACAGCGGAACATCACGTCTTCGAACCGCGGCGCGCCGAGTTAGTCGGCCACAGAGTCCATAGGACACAAACGGTTCGAGCATGGCAGGCGTGCAGAGGCGTGTTTCGGTGCGCGCGTCACGGTGAGCATCCACTTACAAATTCAGAAATTATGTTGCACTGTCAAAAATATAACCGTCAGTTTTATCCCGACATTTTCCCATTACCCTCGGATGCATTCAGGGTGTCATCTCGCCTGCACCTTAATGTCTTATCATTCGTCATTCGCCATAGATCGGGAAGGCCGCCGCTCTGACCACTTCCGGCCGCTCCGTGCCGACGCCAGCTGCCCACGACCTCACCGCCGCCGCCACTGCGCAGTGAACCCAACGGTCCTGCTTTCAGCGTCGGCGCTTCTAACGGCGGGTCATGAGACATTACAAGCCGAGGTCAACGCCATTTCGAATGACCAATTAACCCGTCAAGCTCCCTGTGCACCTGTTACAGTAGTCTCATTTGACCTGCAACTGGAACGCGCCGCCGCGGGCGTGCAAGCGGCTTGCTTCAGTTGCCTTTGACGTCCACTGAGCGTGAGCGTTCCAGCGCCAACGTTCACAGGCGTATCCGAGGACAACGTCACGGGTGGCGACCGATGATTGGCGCACATCTCCCGCGCTTCCTAACTGGTTCCCGTTCACGGCAACATACTTGAAGTGTTAATCGGACGGTGATGACTTATCGCCCCTCCACAAATTGTCGCGGCACACACCCTGGCCTATGTTCATTACAAACGAATTCACGCCAAGGACCAATATATAGTTCATTATCGGCGGGCACGGGCCACCGAGGTATGGCTTATCAACCAGCTTCAAGAAGGCACCGGCACGTTATGACATGCTCATATAAAGCAGCCACCATTCCTTGGAATAACGAGACACCATATACGGGACCATATACCATATGTAGGTGATACAGCAAAGATGGTAAAAGTCCCTAGGCCTTGAGTAATAGTACATTTGAGACATTTCAGATCGTGGAGCTGATGCTATCACGACTTTGCTCCAATTAGGGAGCAAGCTTTGCGTAACTGCCACCGCACGAATGATTCGTACTGACACTTCGACGCTTTCGCTCAGGCCGCTGATACAGCTGGAGGGTCCCGTAATACAAAACATCTTGCGGCGGCCGGGAGAGGATAAGATCTTCACAGGCATAGGAGGCACTTGTGCTAAAACGTCCCAAAGCCACAAATAAATTTGGCGTATCTTGAAATCGAGACACGACTTGCACCACGTCTGGCGGCTGAACGGCCATGGAGCGCCAAGGACGACTCTAAAATGCTGCCGTGTTGACGTGGCTGCGGATGGCCAGCTGACTTGTCTCGTTTTCGGCGCGGGTTCAGTGGGGCACGGGGTGACGCGTCGTCTGACGCTGTAGCTTCTCATCTCTGAATGCGGCCTCGAGCAGCACATATTGCGCCTACGTGTTGATCTACTGCTGTTCGCATCTTGAAGCACATTCACGAGAAGTAGTCGTCTGATGCTTTGTGCCGATTAAAGCTCTTCCATCATTGGGCTCATTGGCTGATAAAGATAAGCTACCTCACATGAAATAAGACAATATGTGTCGTAAAACAACATTATATGTAAAACAAGAATATGGGCACGGCAATACCATCAAGGTAATTGTTATATTGCATCGTATGCTGGGATAAAAGCGGGTTGCTTGGATGCCTCACCGGTCATCTCACAAAGTCATTCGCACGGCATTGAATAAATCGGTAGCGACAAATGCAGTGTCCGCAATCCGGGTAAAGTCTACGGTAGAGCACGTGCCGCCGATCCTGGACGTTTAGATTCACTCCTCCCGGACACACGTACCACATCTCACAGTGACGACCTCTAGATCAGGCCGTCAGCTGCATGGCAAGCCCGGACAGACACCCGCATGAGGGCATATTGTGTCATGTCGCCACCGTCGACTGCATGGCAAGCCCGGACAGACACACGAATGAGGGCATATTGTGTCATGTCGCCACCGTCGGCTGCATGGCAAGCCCGGACAGACACACGCATGAGGGCATATTGTGTCATGTCGCCACCGTCAGCTGCATGGCAAGCCCGGACAGACACACGCATGAGGGCATATTGTGTCATGTCGCCACCGTCAGCTCCATGGCAGGCCCGGACAGACACCCGCACGAGGGGATATTGTGTCATGTCGTTGCGGGCGTATGGGCAGGAGTGGTGAAGTAATGCGCGGTGTACCACCTTGGTATACCACGAGTGATGCTGCGCGGTGTCCGAATGAGGTGGTGCCCTTATGCTTTTGACTGACAATGCTACGCACGGGCATCAGTGTGATGCACTGGGCTAAACGCTCGCCAACCATCGTATGCGAAAAGTCATGGTTTTAGGCTTTGATGCAGGCCTAATGTTTCGTCATGTTTCTCGACAACGAGCAGGAATGATGTCGACGCCGAACAAGCTGAACAAAATGAATGCCAATAATCATACAACCCGCCAAAAGTAAGTAAAGGACGCTAAATAGCCATAGGGTTATAACAACAAACCCCACAACGCCACCCTGCCCAATCGTTTTTCGCGATATACTGTCCAAATGGTATCATTCTCGACTACATGCACCATCGAGACCATAGTTGGTATCTCCAAACCAACCGTGTAACCGCTCCAGGTCTATGAAATTCAACGCTTGTCCCATGCTGGTGCACGACAGGAAACAAATCCCAGACGCGGCTGCGCCACGCCCCTCTCGGCCGCTCCGACAGCCACTGGCGACTGACGGGCGACCTCTCGACCGCTCCGGCAGCCACTGGCGACTGCCGGGCGGCCTCTCGACCGCTCCGACAGCCACTGGCGACTGCCGGGCGACCTCTAGACCGCTCCGACAGCCACTGGCGACTGACGTGCGACCTCTCGACCGCTCCGGCGCCCACTGGCGACTGCCGGGCGTCCTCTCGACCATTCCGGCGCCCACTGGCGACTGCCGGGCGACCTCTCGGCCGCTCCGGCAGCCACTGGCGACCGCCGGGCGACCTCTCGGCCATTCCGGCGCCCACTGGCGACCGCCGGGCGACCTCTCGGCCATTCCGGCGTCCACTGGCGACTGCCGGGCGACCTCACGGCCGCCCTGGCATCCACTGGCGACCGCGGACGCCAGCACGCATGTTCGGCTTCAGAACGGCGCTGGCGAGGCGCCACAGTTGATGTTCTGTCCAGACTAGGCCCACCAAAAACTGGCTCGAGGAGCGCACCGACAATGTCTCCGTCGATAATGAGTCAAAATGCGCATTAATTACTGAGGAGCGTGAGGCGGTGCCGCACGCGAGCCCGGGTCAGAAAAACCGGCCGTGCCGCCCCCGTCGTGCACAGACAAGGACTGTTTTTACTGCAATTATATGTCGACTCGGCAGCGTTAGTTCCACAAACGCCGCGGCTGAAAGAGGCGGGTGCCGCGTGGTGCTGTGACTGGTGGCCGCCGGCGGGGTTAGGGCGGGGAGGGGAGGGGACCTCTAGGGACTGGGGAGAGGGAGTGACCACGGCTGTCGTGCCCTCCTCAACTTTCAACTGTAAAAGCCCCGCACGTACCTTGCCCGCCCGCGGCGCTACTATTCTGGTGGTTGAATCCGCAAGTCATAGCCGTGTCATTTTGGCTGATGCAACCCGGATTTCAAAAACGCACATCCACTACGTCCGACATTAAAGTGGTGCGGCTCCACCAGGACTCCACCTCTTCCGTGAGGTACACAGCGGCGGTGGAACTGGAGTGTTTGCAGCCGGGGAGCGGGCGGCGGCGACCAGAGAACGCCTGCTCGAGAGGCCACTTTAAGACCGACCCAAACCAATCGGCGTTTAACGTTGAGCCCCACGACTGGGAGCGGCGGCGTGACGCAGTGGACCGACGGGTCACGGGGTGGACAGCCCGCGCGAGCCTCGCTCCATATTTCATAGTCGTTGCATTGTTTCCATGTTCGTTTCAAAGTTCCGCTCTGCAGGGTGGTGGCGACGTATGCTCACTGCACCTGTGTCGTTAAACGCTTGAAAGTGGATAGGGACCATGGCCTTCGGCTTTGGGTAACAGTACGCATGGACATGCTGGGCATCGGTATGGGTAACGTTTGATGGTTCTGACCATTCTGTGGGACGGTGGCCACGCGTATTCACTGTACAGTGCTGCTCAGGAACCGAACGATGTCGCAAGACCGTCACGCCGAGAGTACTGTCGCGTCGAAAACGTCGAAATCATCCCTGAAGAGAGCTGCTGACTTAGTGGCTGGAGGCTCTTAATCTCTTGTTCACCGAGGCAATTCAATGATAACAAAGTTGCCAGGCACCCATGAGCGTAGATCACGCTCACCGTCAACACATGCCGATGTTGGTTATGAAAACACTCAAAAGAGCTGTTGTGCAGCGAGCAGCCGACAGGCATTATCGTGACCGGAGGAGACTGTCATGCGGTCATGCCCTGGATGTTGAGAACAGGTCGGGAAGACCAGTGCAACAGCTGAGTGAGAACATCGCGGTAAGCGGAGCAGAACAACCTCCTTTGAACTGTCCGCCCAATGGCACGTTTGTTTGGACAGCGATGCAAACACATGCTCGTTCGCTGCGTGTGGAACGTCGGTTACGGATACATCATCCGTAGCATTGGATGGTGTACATACCAGTGGAGGAGGCGACTGGGCTGCGAATTCCTGGTCGGTGTCATGGACATCATGAAACATAAAGGCATTCTTCACGGTATGTTCGCACCCTTTTAACCCCGTGAAGAGGTACAGCCAGCATTTGGTTAGCGGCGGGAGGGAAACGGAGCTCAATGAGAAAGCATCACGAGGATTTTTCTTCATCAGGAGAAAATCTAGGGTGAAAAATTACAAAAATGCGAGCCTAAGGAGGGTGGGTTGGTGAGTGGTGGGGGTGGGAGTGGGGGGTCCAGCCCTCATTGTTGCACTTGTGGCCGTAAAACATGAATCTTTTTAATTATGTTAGTGATGCTTATGTCTGCTCGCCACTCTTGATGCCCTCCCACGCCCTCTGCTATCCTGCTATCCACGAGAGTGGAGACGCTGGCGCCGGCCGGAAAAACAGCGTCGAGTCAGACCTTGAAAAACTTTATCGGTTAGCTGTAACTGAAATCGATACAGAGCTTGATTTGAAGACTCGGACCAAACCATTTGGGCAAGAATAGTGTGCCCACACCGACCCCTTTATTATTAGAACGGTGTGTGTTTTGGTGAACGTTAACAACGGCACCGTACAGCACTTGATAGAAGGCGGTAGCTTTGCGGAATTATTAGGGGGAGTGATACATTGGGCTGAGGGATAACTCCATTTCGCACAGGACCGACAGGCTCATGTTAAAGCTGATGCATATTAGGGAGCCTGAGCCCTACCCATGTATGCAAAGTTCCCCATGCCCTGGAAACTTTCCATATCACGTCAACACTTACTCCATCAACATTTCTTGATTTGGCACATTTTACCTATCTTGACTAAATGACCTGATTCAGGATACAAAATACGAGATATGACCCAGCTAAGTTTTAAGTTGCAGAATTCTTGCAGCATCGAGTTTAAAAAAACAGCGCAGAACGGTGCTTAAAATGCACATTCTACAACGGACAAACGCCAACAGCTGTAACGTCTGTCCCTCCGTTCGCTTTAACATGTGTTTGACTGGGTGTTAACACAACGCACACCCAACATACCATGTGTAAACTGGCTCTATTTCATGAGAGACAGAGACGAGCTGACACATAACCGACGACTCAAACAACTCCACTTAAAGCGGCGGAACATGTCACCGGCCGTGTGTCCAATCAACCTGGTTGACACCCACCAAGAGCCTCACTAGCTTTGTTCTGTAAATACAGCGGCGAGCAGACACATGCAGCACCCTCTATTGAACCGAGCAGGCCTGGAGTTTATTATTGAAGTCGGTGTTCAGAAATACCGTGACCCACAGCGAGCGCTCCTTTGGGACTCCTGGCATTTGCCCGTTTGGGCCAGAACTATGAAGTTCATGCATGTCGTTCGAAAGTTGTCCGGAAACAGGGCATGAATTGCTTCAGGTTAGCAGCCGTGCTGCCGGCCAGTTCAGCCCAGAACAAGATAATGCCGCGTAGTAACTCAACTAATGGGCAGCAATTACACCGATCTTATATGACACCAGCTCCTGAGCAGAATCTGTGTAAAAAGAAAATCGATGCGAACCATCATTCGTTTAGGTACAGGTTATCGCTGCTATCTGCCCGCGCGCGTCGGATTATAGAGCTGACAGATTAGTTGACAAAGATTCGCTGTACGTCGGCCCGATATTTCGCGACGAGAATAATACGTACACTTCGAAGAATCGGGGCTTGGGCCTCCATGAGCTGTTTTTTTTTTACCGCGCATGTCTATCCATACATGCTTTACAGACAACGTTCAAACAGTTAACGTCGGTTGTGCTTGCGTAAACTACCAATACATGCATTGACATGGGATCACTGCTTAAGGAACATGCGTTGGCAGGGACTGGCGCACTGCTTCAAAGTACCTGTATTAGCAGAGACAGGAGCGCTGCTTTAAGGTACATGCGATGGCAGGGAATGACGCATTGTTTTTAGGCATTAAAATATTATCCCCAAGCTAGAACCGCGAGCCTTTTTGACGGCCAGAATCTCTTTCTCGTCCCCAAAAACGCCAATGAGACACACGCATGAACAAGCTTAGCCCTTACTTGCACAGGTTGTGCAGCTTGTGCATGACATCGATCAGCTGTTCGGCGTTGTGGGCGTCCTTGGCCCGGGCCAGGTGCCGCTGTACAGTGGCCCACGTCGGGAGGTCACAGGGGAGCAGCACCAGCGCCATCTCTGAAGCGGAGGCGCAAGGCTCGAGAGTGTGACGCAGAGCACAGCCCTCCGCAGCAGTCCGAGGGGGCACAAAGGCCGACGTGACGACGGTGCCGAACACATACCGGATCCCGGAGGTGAAACTACGAACGCCTGAACGATCGCCCGTGCTCGATGAAAACGCAGATGAGCACGGCTTGATGACTCGTGCATTGAACTGAAAACGTGGGCACATTCGGGGAACTCTAGCGCAGTTCTGACAACACGTCCATGAAGCAAAACAAACCGCAGCCCATCACCGGGCGGCGGCAGCGCCGCACCGCCCGGCGGTCCGCCACCCACCTCATCAGAGACGGTCCCAGGGCGTCGACTCCCAGCGCGCGGCTCGCTCACAACGCGCACATTCCACCGGGGCTACACCCGCACCACCACACCGACCCGCTGCGGGCGTCACCCCTCGCGTCGACCCCGACGCGGCTCCGTCGGCGCACTGGGCCGGCCGTGCTAGCGCTCACCAAAGGTCAGTGGCGGCGGCCGGCGGCGCGGCGCGCCGTCCCCGTCACGTGACACCGCGCCGCCAGCGTCGGGCGGCCGTCGACCGCGGCGTGGCGCCTCCTCCCCCTCTTCGCCGGCACCGACGGGTATTTATAGCCCGCGGCGGCGACGGCGCGCCGGCTGGAGCCGACGCCGCGCGGGGACGCGGCGCGACGCGACGCGGCTCCGCGAGCGCGGCGCGTGCGCGGCGCGCGCGCGATTTCCGTCCCCTCACGACGCTTGTCGCCGCTCTCAGCTCTTCAAACAGCGGAAGTCCAAGGCCGGGCCCGCGTCGGAGCCGCAGTCCGAGCCCGGGTCAGAGACAGGCGAAGAGCGCGTTGACCTGTTGGAGCAAGAGAGGACGCGCCTCTCCAGTGCCTCAGCACCGCACGGCGCCCCAACCCAGGCGCCGAGTGCGCGGCCGGCGGCAAGTGCGATCGATGCCCGTCCCCAGCTGTCCGCCGCTCGTTCCGCCCGTAATCCGGCGGTTCCGCACCGATTAATCATCGGGGGGACGGGCGACCGACTCGCCCCAGTCGACGGCGACGCGGCGCCAACGCAGATAATCGACGCTGCTCGCGCGCTGGGAATGATTTCCGTCGCCTTGGGAACGGGAGATGCTGCGCCAGACAGATCGACGCGGCACGGAGTTGGATGGCCGCTGTCAATGCTGAATCGTAAATCGGGTTTTCCTGCGTCGTGTGTACTTCACCGTCCTTCAATCAACTAGTTTCGTCAGAGGCTTTGGTGGGATGGTGACAAGCGCCAATTGTAAGCTCCAAGGGGTCATTCGGCAGAGCTCTCAAAAGTGGAGGAGGGGGGGGGGGGGGGAGGGGCGGAGTGAGGATGGGAGTGCAAGGCCAATTGATTTCGCTCGAGCAAATTTTATTTACACGTGGGTGGATGCGTTTCACAGTATTGCGCAGCAGCACCACAAATGTTAGAATCGTACAAGTCACTGATTACGCACTGCAGTGAAACCTGCCCAGGAAATGAATTGCTGGGAGGCTGGAAAGGGCCTCAAGGTTGTCGAGCACAGAGAGCAGCAGTCCTTCGGTCCTGAGATCCATGCGTGCACGCTTTGCCATGATAACTCATGATAATTTTGATGTACATTTGTGATACGCTGTTAACATGTCGTATCCCGCGAGTGTAGTTGCATTGATAACGAACCTATCCACGTGGGTGATTCAGCAAGGTAAGGTCAGGGCCGTCGCGCCGCGGTGCATGCTGTCGATCCACGCATCGATCCGCCGGCCCACACAGGTGGGCTGGCCCTCTCCCCGCTGCAGCATACTGCTCATTTCGCTCGGGTGCGTTTCGCGCTTCTGTGAGGCAGGGATAGATTCCGCTCAAAATGCGATTTTGGTGTATTGGAGGCAGTCGCCACGCTAGAGGCGGCCTCAGGACGTTCGCAGAGGCAACTGCAGTACGGTCAGGCACGACGCAAAATGCGACGCATTAAGTGCCGCGAGGAGAGGCAGGCCGCCGCACTGTTTCGAGTTCGTCGTCGGGGTAACGGGCGACTGTGCTTGAGTGACGGCTCGGTGGAGTTGTGAAGCCATCTGCCAGGTGTGGCTTTGAATACATGTGTTGCACGCCTGCAGCCATGTACCCCATCTCGTCGCGCGGCGTGACGCACACACCTCCTGGCTTTTTATCGATGTCTTGGAAGATCTATGTAAGTCGACACCAAAACCTGCAATTGCTGGCAGCAGTGGCGTAGCTAGGATTTCGTTCAGGGGGGGGGGGGGCACATCGAGCCCTTTAAATGTAGGAGCCCCTCTTCGTCGGCACGTGAGACATTTTGGATTTAGGATTACGAGTGCATTTCTAGGCGCGGGATCCTATATCGATGAATCGAAGCCTTTCTTTGGATTTAAAAGTCCTAGGGGCATTGTTAACTATCAAAACGCGCTGCAGTCTTCAGCCCCGGGAGGCCCCACCACCGCCAGGAAAGAACGCAAGGCCGCCAAAGCTCCCCCTTGGCTACGCTGCTGAGTGGAGGCCATGGCTGCACGTTACAGTTGGACACACTTCCTCCCATCTCCTCACGTATTCCAATTCGCAGCATCACGGTCGGAGAGTGAGCCACTTAGAAGTGGCGGTAAAGCATCAACAACACAAGAGCCACAGGACAGGCATCGAGCCAGCGAATGACAGCGCTCCGCGGTGCCAGGAAGTGCCGCTCGACCGGCGCGACCTCCGCATGACTTGGAACGCAATGGGACCGCAGAATTGAAAGAAGACCCGGCTTGGCTTTCGCGGTCAAAAGCCAGTGTGTTAAATCCCACCAACTGCCGGCCGTAAGCCGTCAATGGATGTCGCTAATTGCACGCCGGTGGTTTTTCGTTGCAGGCCCGCTAATTCATGCGGCTCGGTGAGAGCGATAAACGCACCGCAGCAGCGGCTGGTGAGCTTCCGGACCGAAACGTATCCGCCGTTGTGGCCCAGGGCTGGCACGGCGTGGCTTGGACCTGACCCCACACAGCGGCGTGGGAGGGCCGTGCCATGTCACACAGCCTCGCCAGTGTCATGCACGCTTTACATTCGCTCTTCACTCCTGAGGGGAGGTGGATTAGCTTATGGTAACAGCGTAACAGCTAACAACGTAACAGCGGTAGCGGGGCACGGCCACTTTTGATGTCGTTTTGGAGCGTTGAATTTACTGCAGACAAGGTGTGGCTGAACTCTTAAGTGCTGCATCTGTGACCGGTCGCATCCCAACGCCGACGAGACGGTGGGCGCCGCATGGCCACTAGGATACGACCGGTCACTCCTGCGACTCGTTCCCTCGTGCGAAGGAGTCCAGCGGGTTCAGGCCATTTCTCACTGACGTCATAAAACCGCGCTGCCGCCATCAGTTGCAATTGTCGCGAGGGCGCGAATGACTTCCAGCAAGAGCAGAGCCACTTTAGCTGGACGGCTCTGCCACCGCTGAGTGGCGGCCCATCAGAGCGGCTGCAGTCGCGACAAAGCTGCCGACGGCGGAGTGGGCGCCCGCTGCTGACGCAGGGGTCCCAACACCGACGGCTGTGCCACTTGTGACGTCAGTACCAGTGCCGTCACGTGTGACGTCACCGCAGGCTTCTGCTGATGGCGGGCGCGACGTCGGCACAGAAACGTTCGACTGCGCGCCGATGTGAGGCTGCCGCAGGTATGCACGGAACGGAAAATGAGATCTCGCCTCAACGCGGGGACGACCGATCAACACCGTGACGTCACCGTGACGTTCGCGTCATCATCAGCTGGCGACGGCGGGCGATGTCTGTGTGGGGGTGCGCGCACCGCCAGTTACCGTCGTTGCCGTTATTGGCCAAATGTCCGGCGACGCTTACGTCATTACGATCATCATACGCTATTACGTCGTGCCGCTGTGTTTCGGCGCGGTGGGCTATTGCCTCTTTCGCAGAGGTGGGTCTGGTTCAGGCGCACGCTCAGCCTCCATCCAACACGTGGTGACCCATACACGCGTCGTGCTCCCGGTACGCGCACGCGTCTAATCGGCACGCCCGACAGGCGCCACCTGTGGACAAAGGCGGGTCGGGGCGGGGGCAGGTCCGGAGCTCGTCGGTGCAGGTGGAGCGGCGAGTTGGCGCGCGCGCCTGACGTTGTGCCACAAGTGGTGTGCGACACTTGGACGTGCGTGCACGTGAGGACCGAGTGAGGGGAGTTCCATGTTCCAGGTATCATCGTCATCAACATGCAGGAACGCGTGGCGGGCGGCTTTGATCGGCGAGGGCGTTGGAATAAATGGATGGGGAATCATAGCCTACTCGTTGCGCAGTCATTCCGGCACGTAACGCATGAAGTGCCGCCATGTTGGATGGGACCCAGGGACGGGGACGAACAGGGGACACGACCGCGCTCAACACCAGCTGAGCCAATGATAGCTCGACGCCTCCTCCGGGACGAACCGCCACTCCCATTGCACAGCAGGTCAAATGTACCACTGGACTGTTCAAAGTCGCAGCAGGGCACCTTATCATTTTATCTTCCGTTCCACGAAAACTAAATACGTCCGACCATTGAGTGCACTGTAGGGACATTTCAATCTGGGGCTCATTACGGGTTATGCTGCCCGCAAAGCTTCCCGCCCAATGATGCAGATAGCCAAGCTCGTCCTTTGGAGATTGTTTCCGCACCTGATAGCGCTAATGTGATGTCATTTATGCACGCTATTCTGTCATGCCAGTCATTTATACACGCTCCTCTGTCATGCCACAGAAACATTATGTGGAATGCTCCCACACGTCCGATTAACTTTCAACCAATCACGCCTGTCCAAGCTGCAGGCCGGCGATTTGCAAATGGCTGGAATGCCAACGGGTACATTAAAGCGATCTCGCTCGAGATAAGCTACCCAAACTACAGGCACGATCTCAGCGATCCAGCAAGGTTTTGCCGCTTTATCTAGCTGTGCTTGTCTGAGCAAGATGAAACAGATCACATAAAAGTGGGCCTATCTCAGATAAGCTTACCGAATTACAGGTAAAATCTGAACGAACCACCAATTGCTTTGCGATGTTATCTATCTGAGTTTGCTTGGGCTAACCACAATCAATTATGCTATTCATTATGGCCATCAATTTGCAGACCCGGATCGGGATAAACCAATGAATAAGACCAACTAACACCATTATTTTGCAACCGCAATTCATCAGCCCAGCGCACATAAAATTAAGTTGCAGAAAACACATGTTGTAAGCCATTGTACAGACAGGTAATAAATATCAGATGTCGCGATAACATTTAGGGCGACATTTCGAAGTTTCGTTTGATGAATGCCAAGCGAACTGTCAGCGCGAATAGCTGGGCTTCACGAGGGCTACCATAGCTGGGCTACCATCAGAATATCACGACTGCTTCGTTGCAGGTAGCACCACATATTTCGCTCTGACCTTGAGCGATGCACATTTGGTTTCTGAACATATGATGGG